AATCACAAAACGACATTCCCGCAACGCGAACACAGCAACAAGTTTAAACCCTTCTGCTAAAAAACCACAAAACATCAAACCTCCGCCAATATACATGGCAAAATAGACCATCTAAAACTACTTGACGCACTTAAATGAAAATACTAAAATGCTTTCTAAGCCAAATTCACGTCAGACAAACTTAAAATAACGTTTACAAACATAAAAGATTTTACGAAATTCATCTGTATCAAAGAAAACATTGAATTTCATACTTATACGTCACTTCCGAGAAATATTAATCGTACTGCTCAAAAGCTTGATTCGAATCCCGCTAGTAAAAATAAGTGAAAACATTAGATGACAGGGTCTAAATCCCATGCAACGCAACAGATGAAACGCCGACCTACACCAAATACATCCCATATATAGAGTTGCTAGGAACCACACTTCCACAAATAAATCGTGTTAGATTCATCAAGAATATCAAAATATATTTGGAAAAATATGAAAAATATCCCATAAACGATTCAATGTTTCCGTTGCCAGGCGCATGGTCACACGTTGTTAAATTGCAACAAGAAACCAGTGTGTGTCAAATGCGCCGGGCAATATGAATCGACAAATGTGACACCAGATCTTGCAGCAAAATACCAGAAATTTCTCCAATATGTGCCAATTGCAAAGGCTCTCGCCTGACCAATTCCCAATGCCCTGTATTACTAGTTTTTCTGGCCAGAAAGACTGCCAGTAAAGAAAGAATCCAACATGTGTAAAACTCTCTCGCAAATATGCGCCTGCAAGCACAGAACTTCCCCCACCTTATCCCAAACAAAATCCATACCACCTCCTTGACTCAGGCAAACCACAAAACTAGCAAGGAATATCGTATGCAAGAGCCGTATCATCTCAACCACCTCTGCAGCTTCAGCAAACCGAATATCCTCTCAATCCGAAACTATTAAATCAAATAGACGATATCAAAGCAACAGACTTGGACCAGTTCTTAAAAATTATATTGCTCATCCAGAAATATTACACGAAAATCACGAACAACTTAGAAAGAGTGCGAGCAACAGTACTCATAGTGAAAAAACTAGATAATGAATAGCCAAAAATTCTATTGTCATCTTATGAAACTAGCATTGAAAACAGGGCATTTGAACTCCACAAATTTTTAATAGACCACCGAAACCTAGCTCGCCCCAAAAGACACTCAAATTACGCAACTACAAAATATACAGACAAGACGAGCAACCATCCATCAACAGTAAACTAAGACGTGGACTATTAATAGCTGTTCACAAGGATATTCCTACAGAAGACACACCACAACCAACCACTTCAAACATAGAAATACTTAACATGAAGATCAAAACTACTCCCATACTAACAGTCGGAGCAGCATATTTCCCTCCCCTCGCCGTTTTCTCAAGTCAAAACCCTTCCTACTTGTATGCCAAGCACATCCAATGGAACAACACCAAAAGAAATCTATCTTCAAAAATTCTATCTTCAAAAATCGTTCCGAGCTACACAATTATTAAATTTTCCGCAGTTCTACTTATAACTACAGCACATCCTCCAACATTGACATTTTCATGTTGGACCAACATTGACATTTCATTTTCTTTCAACAAAATTGCCACAATATAGACAATTTATCATCAAATCACCCACCAGTGACCCTCTCACTCATAACCCAAAACAATGCAAGATGACAAAACTAAACCGCACAAACCCATTCGAACACATTCGCCAAAAACTGCTGTGGATTCAAAACATCCACAGTCGACCCACATCGACAACGAAATCGAAAGCACTCACCCGGCTAATCCGGGAAAAGATTTTTTAAAAACGCGCAAAACTCCAAATGATCAATTCTCTCCCGCAAACCGTGTTCTCCAAATCCTTATCAAGGAGAGAAATAAACATAAACGGAAGTTCCAAAAGACTGGAAACCCCTTCCATAAATTACACAGAAACCTCCTCTCAAATCTCATCCGTAGAATACATCGCAGAAGCTCGAAACTAAGTATGACATGATAAGCTTACAAAAATCAAAAAGACAGACCATACAATTTGGTAGACCTTCAAGATTACCGGCCCCGAAAAAACTCAAATATATATTCCAAAGCCTTACACTCCACACGTCTCATTACACAGAACAGAAAGAAAAAATAGCCGAAAGTCTGGCTGTAAACTTCGAAAAAATATACAACTTCTCTCATCAAGCACAATATCGAAAGACTTGCAACATTATCACTCACAAATTCTCCTATCGACAACAGCTTAAACTTCAGTCCTCAACAGATAAAGCACATAATTAAAAAACTCCTCTCTAACAAGACTCCAGAACCAGACAAAATCACCACAACAGCACTCAAACTACCAATCGAACCCATGGTATAAATATTATCTTCAAAGCCTGCCTTAAATTTTCCCACAGCATGGAAAACAGCTAAAATAGTCCCAATCCCCAAGCAGGGGAAACTAGAAACTGCCGTCGAAAGCCACAGACTCCTAAATACCATAAGCAAATTATTTGAAAAAATTATCATCACCCATCTATTAACTCATGTTAACAACAGAAACATAATCATCCTCCAGCAGTTTGGTTTCAGAAAAAATCACTCATGCATCCAGTAGCTATAACGAGTCATGAAACTCATCACCCTAGAAATAAACAAGAATAAAGTAACACAATTTATCTTGTTAGATTTAGAAAAAGCCTTCGATTTAATCTAGCACAACGCCTTTCTAGTGAAACTGCAAAGAATAAATACCCCACACTCTCTCCTCAGACTGATAGCCAGTTACCTGCAAAACAGGACCTTCCATGTCTTAATGAACGATACTTCCACGATAATCAAAAGCGTCATTGCGGGAGTATCGCAAGATTCTGTACAAGGATCCCCTGTTATTCATAATTTACATAAGCGGCATTTCATGCACTCAAAATTACATAACGGTCTGCGCAGACGACACTCCCATCTTAGCCATGGAGTCATAAAACCACTACCAAGTACATTCAAACACACCTTGATCAACTCCGAGATTACTTCACAAATTGGAAACTAAAAATCAATGGAGTTAAAACGCAAGCTGTTGCCTTCACACATGTGAGATCCAAATCTACAAATCAAGTTTCGATCGCAGGACACAACATCCCTTGATCCTCTACGGTCAAGTACTTTGGTACACTACTAGACGCTAAAGTCACCTGGGCTCCAGCGACAACTAAAAGAGCAAACCTAACTTTCCCCGCAGTCGGAAGACTATACCCGCAGAAACAGCAGTCTCAAATATCAAACTAAAGCTATATAAGATGTGCGTTAGGCCGATAACAATATATTATCAGTATCAAATCTGGGCTGCAGCAGCAAAGTTACACATTAATAAGATTTAAAGAATTCAAAATAAATTTCTACACATTATTTTCAACAAACCATATGACATACCCATCCGCGTACTGCGCGCAATAGCGAACATCCAAACGATTCAGGACTATAAGGATATTGCAAATTCAGTTAAAACCGCTTATCACACAGAGCATCAAAATTCACTTATCAGTCAAACAGGAAACTACAACGTCAATGACATCCCACCACACATCAAGAAAAAGCTACTTAAACAGGCAATTTTCACTACATAAAACCTGAAATGGAAACCAATAAAGATATAGGTTTTTTGAAATTTTCCCTGCTTACCTAGTAACACGCAATCATACACTATCTCTCCTAAGAAGCATTTACCTAATAATTACGTTTTTTTTGTAGGTTGCAGATTAAATGGTCATCAAACCCCAGACATTGTAATTAAATCAACCACAAGCGAGGAGTAAAAAAGGAAAAAAAAAGAAAAGGACGAAATTGGATTGTATTCGAGCTATCGAACGAGTCCGCCAAGCTGCAGCGTTTTATATGAACACCGGATTATATAATCGTGTAAAATATAAATTGTATAAATATATATGTATATTTTATACATACGTTCCGATAAAAAGTCTATTATTATAAAATTTTGTTTGGAAGTATTTACTGACAACGCTATTATTCAAAATAAAAATTCATGGAAATATTATTGTTCGGAAAAGTTTCTATGTAAGAAACTTTCCACTTGGTCTGATCGCATGTTCACTATAGAGAATTTATGGTCTTCAAGTGACTTGAGCCCCTAATAGTTTCAAATTGCAAGCAAACCCTTGAACGTCTGGCCGATCTTTGTTCAAAAAACCTAGCATGATCCTCGACTGTGGCATAAATCAAAGCATTCACTTTCTTGAGTATAGGCAAAATGTTTAAACAAAGTCATATCCAAGAGACGGCTAACATCTATGCTGTATACCCCACTTTGAAACCAAGAAATTTCCCGAAGCCGATGCAAAGGGAAACAAGACAGCTTTCCCTAGTTTCCATCGGCTTGCACGTCAGAATTCGTCCGATTGCCAACCTGCCTAGTTCATTCATTTCTTGTGATCCACAGTATTACCGAAGAGAAAAACCTTTAATATCTCAAGTGCACGAGAAATATGCAGAGTCCACTAACAATCAACTTTCATAGACTTAGTTCCCCTTAAACCGCGCACAAACAATTATTATTTGAAATACATGCACAGGTATTATATATCTGCATCAGTCGACAAAATAAAAATATTTATTTATTTTCATTTATTTCAAAAATCTATTTCAGTCCTGCTTGTTAGCAATTTCAAAGACGAGAGTAAAAAAATCAATTATATCTTTTCATAAGCTCTCCGAGTAAAACTTTATAACGGTAAATCAACATATGTAAATCGTGTCTATTTCTCTCTTGTTACTTTCCTTTTTTCTGTTCCATTGGTTCGATACACAAGTATCTTCAGAGATATAATTTTGTAAAGAAATACATACATAAATAAAGGTCTTGATTATCATTTTAACTATGTAAATAAATGTAAATAGTGTAATAATTTTTCATTTTATCTAATTAATTTTATTGTGTGTAATACACACACACACACACACACACACACACACACACAATATGATGTAAATAAGTATCTTACCCTAGCTGAGGAATATTTTATTTATACTATGTTTAAAAGAAGTAACTAGATTAATAATGAAATCAAATAATAAGTAACAAATTAGAATTAAAATTCTCAAAAAAGTTAGTACATAGAAATTATATTCATATGAAACGTTCGAATTGAATAGAAAAAAATTTTAACAAAAATTGAATGATTTCTCATATATTAGAAACAAATGCTATTAATTAATAAAAATGTTCAAAAATGTTTAGGAACATTGGTTTGTTGTTTATTTAAAAAAAACACAATGATTGTTTTTAAATATTGTCCCAATAAGCAAGTAATACTAGTGCTTTGCATTAGTTTCATTAGAAAAACTTAATATCGTATTTAATAATCTTTGAGTTAAGGAGCTTTGTATAAAGCAAAAGATAAAAAAAAGTGTCTATTTTAAAAACTTGAACGCCAAGTTGAGATGTCATATCAATTAATCGACAATATAAACAAAACTTATTATTGCAAAAAAAGTTTTTATTGCAATAGCGGTCATATACATGTATTTATTGTTGACCAAGTTACTGAATGATTAAGCTATTCTATTTTTTTAAAACCTAAAGTATCAGAAATATGTTTAATGGAAGTACATTTAAAAAACCTGCCGCAAAATTGACCTTGATTTGAATTTCAAAAAAAAATTTTTTTTTTTTGCATTGTATTCTACTTGTTACGAAGATAAAACTTCAGGAAACGATAGATCACAACTTAATAGTTCTCTTGAAAAATAGCAAAAGAGCTTCTTAGTTATTCTGGACGCGTGGATTATCATTTGTTAAACGCATAATATATGTATCTTTCGGCTCTGTTTTAGTTGTTTTTTCTGAACGCATATATGAGTTCATCGATCACATGATCAACGCATGATGATCATTTAATGATTAATGCATATATGCGTTGATCGTCGCATATATCGATGGTTAGATTTCAGTAACATTTAATTTATCATAATTTTAGCATTAGTGTGACTCTACTCAATAAAACTAACTATTATTTGAAATATAAACATTACATCCATGCATTCAAAACCATAAAGTCGCTGCTAAAACGTACGTGTCCGTAGTGTTAAATGAAACTGTTTTGCCATTTTTCAATAGAACTATTAGGTTGCGACGTATAGTTCCTTGGAAAAATTTTACCTTCGCGATGAGTAGAATTCAATTTAAAAAAATGTTGACCTTGAAATTTAAGATCAAGATCAATTTTGCGGCAGGTTCTTTATATGTATTTCTATCAAATCGAAGGTGTAAAATTCATTTATGATAGCCACGAATAAACTTTTCTTTCCATTCTGTACAAACAAGAAAATAATTCAGTTTGTTTTTAATTATCCTTCCTTGATATGTCTATAATAATAGTCATGATAGAAAAATAGAATGATCTATAATAAAAAAATTTAACTTTCACTACCAGAAAACATAAAACGATTAAAACAAAAAAGTATTTGCAAGAAATTATTCAATCATAGTTTGATATACATAATTCTGCACATATTTTATACTTAAAAACGAATAGAATTAAGAACTTGCAGAAGGGGTAGAGAAATATTACTTTTAACGTTTTCTTAAATATATTATTATATTTATTATTATAAATTATAGTTATTATAGTTATTATTGTAGTAGTTATTATAGAATTATAGTTATTATTATAAATTCCTTATTGTTAGTAAGAATAAGTCCGATATCTGGCAAGTGAAAGTCAAATAACAAATATTGGGAATTAGTGTTGTTAAAATAAGCTTTGAATTTTCAACTCAATCTGTTTAGAAAGCTGGCGCCACAGTTTTAGCTTCACGGTAAGTAAAAAACTCGATAACTGTCTGAATTGATATAATTATACTGTATATAATTACAATGAAACAATATCATAGACATATCAAACATCATATATTATATAATGGTGTATTATTCACGATATAAACTTTGAGATCTCTGAGAATTAAGTCTTAAAGCTTCAATCTTAAAGCTTTAAAAACTTGCGCTTCGTATGACATTAATCTTAAAAAGCCAGCCTTTAAAATTCAATTTCGAAGCTTTTAAGACTCAAGCTTTATACATTACTAATTGGAATAATTTTAAACAATTTAGCATATTCTTTTCTTTTTAGCATATTATATCGTGGCAATTTTATTCATTATCTATGAATATTAAACAAATAAATAGTAACAATATATTTACACAGAAGAACACTTATGATATTCAGAACGGGCACTCAGAAGACGCAGTATTAAAAAGTTGCGTTAGCGCGATACCAGAGTGTTTATATATACTTGCTCGTTTTGAGCTTTCTTCGATTATTTGGGAAATATATAGCATGTTTCGAATGTCACGAAAACCAGACCATCTGAATATCTTCTTCGTTAATGATAGTACAAAATCGTTCTTAACATAACTTAAACAGTTGAAGAGACGGTTGAAAAGACGGATGGAAGAATTATTTTTCAAAAAATATCATTTTTTAATGTTTTTTCAAAATCATTGGCATTTTTTATTATTTATAATAATAAATGAAATATTATTATTAATAATTTTCATTTACGGTAAAGCTTGCCAGTGTCTAAGAGAAGTTATTCGAATTTATCGAAAAGGATTTTCAGAATGTATATGTCCATCGCGTTTTACATACGCAAATGTCATTTCGTAAAATTGGTAATGTCAACAGAAAGAAATGTGTGTTAATAAACTGTTATCCATGAAACGAACCAAAGAAACGTGGTCTTCAACGTCCATGAGATTCTACATATTTAAGACAATTTTCACGTGAAACCAATGTTAATGTTTCGGATGCTTTATGTAGAAAAATTCCATTCTTTTCATTTATCTATTCATCAGGTCCTCGATGGAGACTTTGAAAACCGTTTAAATTTTTGTTAGTAGGACATACGTCAATATGAAAATGATGAAATGCTTTTTACAAAAATATTTACCGACGAAGTATCCTTTACAAGTCACGGTCAATTAAACCTGAGAAATATGCATTGATAGACACAGATGATGGATTCTAAATGTTTGGTGCGGAATTGTAAGTAGTAAGATAATTAATACTATCAACGGTACGCAAACTGAACAAAGTTATACTGAATTTTTGAAAAACGAATTAGGAAATTTATATTGAAACCCCACTCAACATAAGTTTCACATTAATTTAAAAATTTTAAAATCCCAGGTTATTTAAAGATCATGTAATATACATAAACATATCTGAATGTATTTTTTCATGAGCTACGTGATGAAATAGAAAAAAAATACACTTTATTTTACATAAAAAATGCCAGTGTTCTTGAAAAAAACATAAAAAAATGATATTTTTGAAAAAATAATTCTTCCATTCGATGAGTTTCTTCGAAAGTTTGCTTAAGTTACGCAAGGAACGATTTTTGTGCTATCACTAATAGAGAAGATATTCCAATAGTCTGGTTTTTGTGAAACATCCTATATATAGAGAAAGTGATCGTGTTCAAATTTTTCTAATGTTGCTAGGCAGAAAGTTACCACGACATCTATTGCCCATTAGGGATAGATCCAAGGCCAAAACCATAAATACAATTTTAAATATTATAAGAATTAAAATACATAGATAGAAATATAGATAGAAATTATTTTGAATGTATTTTGACTTACCTGACTTCTCATAGGTTCCGTATTTACTTGACACATATAAGCACCAGAATCATTCTTTTGAACATCTGAGACATGTAACTTCCACGTATTATGTCCATTATGTGTAACTGAGAGCCGTGGATTATGCGCTATTAAATGTGTGTGTATTGCCAAAATTGCTCGAGAGTCGGATTTCATCCAAGCCACCTGTAGAAAATATTTACATAAATAGTTGTTATGAAAAAGCTATTACATTTTACGTTGTATAATAGAACTCCAATTATCGAAATTAATTAGGAGATAAATATGTTTGGATAATAGAATTTTCAAATAATAAAAAAATAGCTTTCATATATTTTAGACAAAAAATATGTCGATGCGTACTTTTGCAATTTTTTGATATAAATTTTAAGTTTTTCCTTATTTTCCTCCTCTACTTAGCAATGGAGATGATTCTAAGATTTTGTTTAAACAATCATTATTTTTCACTCGTCTTCTTAACACAAAAACCGGAATGCCAAAAGCATTAAATGTTGCATTCACGCTCATTTTCCCACTTTGAACTGTTTTTACAGTATCCAACAATCTTTCATTTGTCCATAATCCTCTATTGTTAGATTTTCTTTTACTCTCAATCAACTCTCTCTCAAAAGGTCTCTTTCTTAAAAGAATCGGGCCATTTAATCCGATAGCTTGGGAGTCATGACTTATTT